TGTTGAATTTCATTGAATAAATTATTGTTTGATTTTTACTAAATACTGTATATAGTTTATTACTAGAAGTTTAATTAAATATTTGATTTTGTTATTGACAAACTTTGTCATTATTTAATTCGGTGCACCCTTAAAGTCCAGGCCTGGCACACTAACGCGAATCCGCGTAAAGTACCCGTTAGGGAACGGCTATTTCCGGCACGCAGTAGTGTCGATAATAGTTGGAAAAGTCAGAAAAATAATATAGTACTTTACAGGTTTTACAGCATAATACTGAACGATGATGTACTAGCAAAAAGACAACCCTGTCATTACTCATAGAAAGACAGAATTTATACAGAGAAAAATTCAAGAAATGCTTAAAGAAAGAATTATTTGAAAATCCAACTGAAATTACACATCACCTATTGTTTTGGTTAAACAACCACATCATTTGACTCCCATATGACTATTCATCAACTACCAAAAACTGAATAAGAAAACTGAGACTTACATCCCATTCCAAGAATTGATTACATCCTTGATAGATTACATTCTGCATAATATTTTTCAGCAATAGATCTAAAGACAGGATATTGAGAGATTCCTATGGGAGAGAATGATGTATAGAAGGTTGCATTTGTGACACCTGAAAGGACTACAAATTTCTAAAGATGCCCTTTGGCTTAACAAATGCCCCAGCTATTATTTTGAGACATAAAACATGATGGAATTCTTATCTATCTTGATTATATTATATATACCGAAACATTCAAGGAACATGTAAAGTTAATTAGGAAAGTTATGCAGAGATTTGAAGAGGTACGTCTAAAGATATCAGAAACAAAATGTCAGTAGGGAAAAGGACAGTTTGGATGTCTTGGCTATGTAATTGATGAAAATGGTAAATGGACAGATCCAGAAAGACTAAAAGCAGTACAAATGCTAAACCCTCCAGTGGACAAGAAAGGGGACTACTATATATATATATATATTTTGGTGGCTTAATGTCTTACTATCAACATTTGTTCCTCAGTATGCTAGCATAATAGCTCTTTGGGATTTGTTTGGGATGAGGAGTATAAAAAAGCTTTTACACAATTAAAAAAAAAATGCTTGGTATGAGAGCCAATTTTAGTCTATTTCCAACCTGAAGTGGAAACAGAAGTACAACATATGGACACCAGTCATACCAGGCTTTGGTACAGTTTTGATCCAATTTTAGAGAGGAAAGAAAGTAATAATTGAATATGCAAGTCAGAGTTTGAGTGAAGGTGAAAAACTCTTTCACTCCATGGAATTAGAAGCAATTGTTGTACACTGGGCAATATGTGAGAAATTTAGGCACTACCTGCTTGATAAAAAATTCACCATGTGGACAAATAACTGGTCATTTGCTTGTGTAAAAAACAAGAACCCTAGGAAGGATATTAGAATGAATGGTAATAGAATTACAGGAGTATGATTTTGAGGTCAGACATAAGAAAGGGTCAGCAAATGTAGAAAATGTAGCTACAGTAGAGCATCATTTATCCAAATCAATTGGGGACTGGGGTTGTTCAGATAACCGATTATGTACGAAAAATATACTAACCTATTCCATGTTGAAATTTTTCTTCGTTGCGTGTCGCTTCGAGTTGAATTTTCGTCGATATTAAGCCAAACGAAAACTTTTTAAAATAATAATTGTGGTTATTGTATCGTTAAAAATTATTTTTTTATTTTGTACAAACAAAATAAATATATTGAAAAATATAAAAACCAAAAAATATACTTTAGAAGTTGATCTAGTATCAAAAACGTTTGATTCAGCATGACACAGTCTTCAGAAAAACACCACACAAAAATGCCAGTGCTGCCAGCTAAAACACACACACCAACAAAAAAAATATTGGAGTAGCCCAAGATATAGCCAAAGACTGCAGCGCCACACCACTAGGAAATTAAATTTGCCGACTGGAATTTTTTCGGATAACCGACTTTCGGATAAACAACACTCTACTGTCTTACTTTTGATAGAAATAAGGCCTATTATGATAAGAATAAAACACCCAGAGAATTCCAAGAGAATAATTTGGTTTTGTATAAAGTATTTGTACATCATAAATTCCAAAATCATTGCAAGGGTCCTTATTACATGTCTAAAATGATCAATTTGGTAACTATCCACATAAGTAATGCAAAGATGAATGTATAATGCATGCTTCCTGAGTGAAATCATATTATTCAAGAGATGAAGAACCAGGTGAGAGAGACGAAAATGGAACTCATGAAGGGGATAATGCTTACAGCCTGACCAAAGACAACTAGGATTAGGACTATATCGTTTGAACTATGTTGTGTTGATGAAGCTTTGACATTTCACTTTTGTTGTGTTTATGATTAATAGTGAACTGATGTTTTATATATCAGAATATTTTTGTTAGAAACTATTTGCCTGCAGTATGGTTGAGTTGTAGCAAGATTTTTCTGGGAGTTTTAGATGAGAGGACAACGAGAAAATGTGAGAAGAAAAGGGAAAAAAGTAATAGAGAAGGAAGAACCACCACTACACCTATAATGTCTTTTTATTAGTTTATAACTTCTTTATAAACTAATTAAAAAGACTATTTATGTTATATATAATTTCAAACATTTATTGTTTATACTTATAAAAACAATCAAACAACTGATCAAATTAGAAAAAGTTAATTCAGTGGTTATTATAAAATTAATTAAATTAATATTTAATTATTTAAAGCTATATAAATGTCTGTTAATTTATATAATTTTTTTTTATAATATAGAATAGATATATGGATAGAATTTATGGTTTCATAAAATATCCACATGATATTAATCTCAAACAAGAAAGGAAAATTCTTGCTGTTTGTGAGGTATGTTAAATAATATATTCTTAACATAAAATATTTTATTATGTTGTATTATAATGTAAAAATGTCTAAAAATCCTGATCAGTGAAAAAAACAATCAAAATAATAAAAATATTTTTTTCTGATTGTTCCTGATCTTTTTTTGAAGGAATATTTACAATTAATACATCAGATTATCTTAAATCATTTATAGCATATTTGATAGCATGATGAGAAAAGGAACATCTGAATTTCTTGGACTTGATCTTATATAATCAGCTTCTCAGCTAAATGAGATGATCTCAATCTAGATACAGCTTGACCCCAATTTACAAAAATATTTCATTCCTGTAAACTTCTTGTAAATTGATTTTTGTGAAAGAGATGAAAATTTTCATCATTTCTTCTGATGAAAATTTTTACCTTATTTAGGCATAGTCATCTTATTCATGTTCTTCAAATTACAATAAAGTGATACATATAGAAATTGTAGAGAAATTATTACCACTTTCTTTTCACTTTAGAAAATTCTAACTTGCTAAATGCTGTGTTCATAGCAAAATATTTTTTATATCCAATAGTAATTTAAATAATAATTTGAAATCAAAATAAAGATAGAATTCATTAAAATAACTTAGTTTAATTCTGGTCACTAGTGTTAATAGTTTAAAAGAAACAAAAGAAACTACTTGATTAAAATTGAAGTTTTAGGCAAAAATGTCAAGGTATGCTGAAGAAATCTCCAATAAAGTTATGGGCAAGAAGGCCTATATCATACCATATTGCAGTCCAATATCATTTGGACTACAGCACAATATTGCCTTTCAACAGGGCTTTGAAAGTGTGAAGTAAGATGTAGTATTAGAAAAACTGAACATTAATCCTGTTAAGATGCAGTTTTTGACATTTTTTCTGGAAGTTGAGAGGCAGTGAACACTGAGAGCTAAGATTTGTTTATATTGATTTTTAAAATTGTAGAGAAAGTTTTAAAATGCAAGTTATTATGCACAAGCAAAGTAATCTTGTACATAAGCACCCGATCATCTAACAGAAGTCCAAATGCAGCATTAGTATGAACTTTCTCATTTTTATTTTCAATTTGATGAGATTTGGGGTGCTCCTACAAATTTAATTGAGACTGCAGTGTAAAGAATGGTGTCATCAGGGTCTCACAAATTGAAGAAATTTGACTAGAGACATGGAAAGTGATGCTAATTGCTGCATTTGATGATAAAGATGTTAAGTGACTTGCATGAACATCCAAGATAAAACAGTTAATGCAGTTAATACTTCCTCTCTGAAACATCATCTGCAACCATTAATCTGATGCAAGTGTCCTTAGTTTTGTGTTCACATCTCCATTATCCTGCATGATAATGCTTATTGTCCTGTAAAAGACCTGAGTATTGGAACATACTTCATACTTCCTAAACATAAGTCCTTATGGCTATGACTTTTTTCCAAAAATGAAAAATCCTCTTAGAAGTAAGACAACTTTATCTACAGGCACTTTATCATCAATATAAAAAAACACTCGATTAATGGGATTTAGCACCTTCCAGACAACAGGATGTTTATTGAAGATTTATAACTACTAAAGTTTGAATAAAAAATAGTTTTTCAAATTTGTGTATGTATTGTCAGTACTTTTTCTATAACTCTTGCAAAATAATCATAAAAAGACACTTCATGCAAACAATCATATGAAATAATTAACACAACAGTGTAGCAGTTAAACATAATTTATTAGCATAATTAAGACATACTCACTAGTACTTTTGACATCTTATAGCCACCATCATCAGGCAAAAAATAATCTAATACAATTAATTTTCCAATTTTAGTTATCCTGGAACATCAAGATGGCATTAAAAACAACAGACCAGCAACTAAGTTATCTAAAAGGATACTTGACCAAGGTTATCTACTGTTTTGGGTACAGACCAAATTACTTAAGCAGTGCTATGATCAAAGGAAGTTATATATATGGGAGAACCTCTATATATCTGCAATAATACCATGCAATGCACCTACCATAGAAATCCCACAAATGTGGGCAACCATATTCAAATGATTCAATTTGTAATTTTGTATGTATCTCAACCATATACATCTCACTAAATTGGTTTTTAAGGGCTTTTGGAAATATGACGTGAATTACAACATATTTCTATAATTTTTCAAAAACATTTTAATTTAATTTTGTTCTGTATTCTAGCCACGTGGCTTGGATAACTTAAAAAGTCCGTTCAAATAACTGAAGGTTCAAAAATTAATTGTATTCAACTCTTTTTTGCCTGATGATGATGGCTGTAAGCTATCAAAAGTACTAGTGAGTGTCTTAATTACACCAACAAATCATGTTTATAATGCTGCTACACTGACATGTTAATTATTTCATACAACTCTTGTATTTACTTATCAAGTAATGATTCTAAATAAAGTAAAATAAATGAGAGTATTGATTAGGTTACTCATTGATATAAATGGAACTAATATAAAAATTAGAAATGAGTAGTTATTAGACAGTTCTTTAATTAATGATAAGAAAATTAAAGTTAGTTACATTACATAAGCAGAAAACTAGTAAAATTGAGTAAAATAAAATATTTTTCTGTTATTAAAATTATTGAATAGCACTCTAGTGAACAAAAATACAACATAAACAAAACAAAGAAAATGGAGACTTTAATCAATGAGCCATCTGGTCATAGCATACAAGAATTTCAGTCTTGTTGCACCTGTGATAGAATATTTTATTGTTCTAAGTGTTTGTTGTATTGAATATTTTGTTTTTGTAAATGGGCAAGAGAGAGAAAGAAATCTGCTAATGATTGTATTTTATAATTACACTTAAATTTTCATAAATACTCATAAATAAGGGTCACATTATACCTTTCAAAAGTAACAATTCTTATTGGTGTTTTGTTATGAGAAGAAAAAAATAGTATTTTTGATATTATTTATATTCATTTTCATTGTAATGCAGGATTTTTTAGTAATTTGTATTTTTATTATAACTATTGTGTTTTAGGTCCAACCTGGAAACAAAGGATTTTTAGTGTTTTGACTAATTCAGATCATAAAATTCTGGCCATGTTAATAAAGTAATTGTACCATGCATGACTGCTTCCCATGAATTGCTGATATGATTACTTATTTTTATTGAATACAAGAGTCATGCAACAGGGATTTCCTGTAAGACCAGTCATGTCCAAAAAATTTATTTTGCTGAAATTTCAATAGCATCTAAAGCAAAACCTCAGTTAGCAGAATAATAGTGATTTCATTAATTCTCAAGCCTTTGTGTCCTTATTATACAATTTATTATTTAAATGTTTACTAGGACAGATCGTATTATTAGGACTTATTATACCAGTGTCCAAGTTCACCAGTATAATAAGTCCTAATAATACAATCTGTCCTGGTAGACATTTAAATAATTTTGCAGGACTTGGGAAAAAATGAAAATGTTGAAAAGTATCAAGAAAAGAGAAAACAAATGTTTGGGAATCCATATAGTGTGATTAACAGCTTAAAATATAATTTATATTTACTAATTAATTTTATTGTCAAATTGTCACTGCCATTGAAAATATGGATACATTACTTACTTTTACAATGAAATTGTAAAAGTAAGTAATGTATCCAATATACATTTTACATACAAAATGCATATTGGAAACTAAATACAAAATTATAATTATTATTATGTTAAAATTATAGATTATGCAAATAAATTTATTCTATTAGGTGACATCTAAAATTGTTGAAATTGATATATTATGAGTCAGTTGGCAATATTGCTGAGTAACAAACAACATCAAATGTTACATATTAAATATGGAATATTATTTTGTTGCTAAATTGGGTCTATAACAAAATAATAGTGCCAGAAAGTTAAAATATTGGAAAGCATAGTTCTTAAGAAATAGATAATCATCTTTTAGTGAAATGATCTGAGAAACATATCACCTGATTTAAAATATGATTGACTTTTGATGATTTAACTACTGATAGATTTAATCTCTAATTATTCACATCTCACTTGAATATTAATTACACCTAACAAATAACTGTAATGATTGTTGAATTATTAATCTCCTAGTCAATATTAATCTAATATAATAATTTACTTATTTTTAGAATTCTGAAGATCAAATAAAAGCTATGAATGCTGGTGCTTGGATTTCAGGAGGGAAATCAATTATTAAACAAGTAAGATATAAAATTATTCAATGATTACAATTTTTTTTTTAATAGTTATTGACTGAATACAGTAAAATCTCATTAAGTTGAAGTTTGAAGGGCAAAAAAAAATTTGATTTACAAGGGGATCTTACAGTCTCAGAAATTCAGTTCAGGATGAGACTTAGCAGGTTAGTAGTATACCTCAAGAGTGTCAAACCAGAAGAATTGTAAAGCACACTAGCCAGAAGATTCTGAGAAAAAGGACACTAAAGTTTTAAGCGAAGCTCATATACTGGTCGATTTTACACTATAGCAGCACAGCGAAATTGCTGAGTCTGCAGCGAACTTGCTTGCCATGCAGGCTATCTAGATTTGATCCTGTCTTTAGCTAACTTTTTTTTTTTTTTTAATTATAACAACTTTTAAATAATATTAATGACCTAAAAATATTATTGATTAAATCATAAATAATAACCAACAGCTATACTCTTCNCTGTGCCAAGAGCTTGCAACCAGAAGTGATGTGTTGTATAGTTTCTGGCATGATGTGACATTTTCTGCATGTGTCATTTGTGAGTGTTGTATCTTTGAGTATGTTTTTTCCGTAGTTTTTAGTATTTATGACCTGATCCTGTATGGCAATCATGAATCCTTCCGTTTCCCCAAAGAGACATCCCCGATCTAACCAACTGTTTGACGCAGTCTTGTCAAGAAAATCCTGGGCCAGATCATAAGGATGCCTGCCATGGAGTGCCTTTCGAGCCCACGATTGCTTCATGGTGTCTATGCTTTTTATGTGTTGTGTCATGTCTGTATGATGTGAGTGTAAGTTTAATGGTGTGCTATTTGAGTCTGCTAGAGTTACTGCTTTATGTAACTGTGATGTTTCTTGTTTCCTGTAGAAAAACTCTCGCAGTGACTGTATTTGTTTATAGTGAAGGTTAACTACAGTAGACCCCCCTATAACACGGAAATACGTTCCTCGTTATACGAATTTCACGTTGTAGGAATCCTTAAATACGTGAGCCAATCGCAGCCCAACACGTGTGAAGTTTACGGACTACGGCTGTTTGAAAGGTTTTCTTCCATAAAATTAATCGATTCTAGACTAATTTGACTTAACATTTCCAAAACACGTATAATTTTTTGGGAATAATCTGTATAAACTATGCTATAAACAAAAAATTGTAGGATTACTTACCGAGTGTGCACCGTTTGACNGCTAGATTAAAATATAGTATTTTAAATAAATGATTTAAATAATAACCAAAATAAGCTAAAAAGTGGTACAAAATTTTCTGTAATGTTAATATTTAATGAAAAACAAATAGGAAATTTTACAATTATAATAATTATATTTTAAATAATTAAAGAATATTTTGATGACAATTTGCTTTCCCCTTTATAGGCTTTAAATTTAAAAATTAAATATAATTTATAGTTATAATAATAATTATCTTTTTATATAATTTTATTTTAGGTTTAAAAGATTTTAAAAATTAATGGTCAGCTTTTTATTTTTAGATCCAAGACGGTGAAATCAAGGTTGATGAATTTGATTATTTAGTAGCTCATGTAGACATCATAATGGAATTAGCCAAAGTAAGAGGATTATTAAAAACAAAATTTCCTAATAAAGCTAAAGGTAAGAAATGTCATAAAAATAATTATATATGGTAAATTTTTTATTCTAATAATGAGAATATTTCAATACTGAAAGAAAAAGATGTTTTACATTAAAAATATTACAATAAATATTATTCATTTTCTTTGTAAGCATAAGTAAGTTTTCTTGTTTTTGTTATAATTTATTATGTGAGAAATGAAATAAATTTTGCATTTAAAGCTAAATAAAAACAAATCAATTTCTTTCATCATAAGTATTTTTGTCAAAGAATAATATCTTTAATACCACACCAATGAAAGTGAAAGCTATTTTGTCAATATTTAGTTTAATGATTTCTAAGAAGCTAGTTTAAATTGCAAAATATGTAATATCTGATTTATAAACATTGAGTTAAAATAAATTATCATAAAATAAATAGAGAAAATGTAAGTTGAAAATAGCAGTGACATGATTCAACATCATAATAGTTAGCATAGATCAATTTTATTCAAATTAATTTTATCAATGAAAATGCTTAACTTTAAAGAAAATATTAAAATAAAATATTGAAGAATATTTTATAAACTGAAATTCTGTCACATAAAATGAAATTTTATCACTTTTTCCAACCCTGTTAAAGTAAAATTATGAAATTCTAGCTGTGTAAATTAAAGGCTACATGTGTTAATTTTACAGAGCTTCCAGATAAAGTCTCTCTGTAAGTCAATGGTTAATCATAGAATCTATTAAAGATCATTTAGTAAATTTATCCACTAGCTAATGTAATATATCTACTATATGATATCGTAAAAGAAATTGTTGTCTTTTGTTATTAATTTGGTAGGAAAATAGAACTGTTACCAAAAACTGTAAAGTATATATTATAAATTTATTTTCATTTATTATGTTGGGTTTAGTGGGTTATACTCGGTTGACACCGGTGGCTGTGTACTATGCTGAACCAGAGTCAAGGCATAGCAACCAAAATCTAAAATTAAATAAGTGTGTCAGTGTCTGTATTCAGGAATTTCCTAACAATATGGCATATATTCAATATAGTGGCCTTCTGTAGTGTGATGTATGTATTTCTATTATATTGTAATGTTCCCAGGCTTTTGTGTAGTGTGTGTAGTATCACACCTGTACAGGAGAGAATGACAGGTACAATAAGCACCCTTTCACAGATGCCTTATTTCCTGGGCAAGTTCTGTGTACTTGCTAATTTTTTCAGTGCATGTGTTTTGTACATTGTGAGTGTTTGGAATGGCTATGTCTATAATGTATGTGATTTTATTATTATTATTATTATTATTATTATTATCATTGTCATCTATATCATTAAGTGTGCATTATTTTAAATATTTTGTTTGATATTCATTTTCAGTGTGTTCAAATAATACATTAGAAATTAATGCAAATAGTATATAATAGTTTTTAAAATGATTGCAAATTATAAATTAAACTTGGAAAAATAATCTAATTTTAATAATCCATTTTATTTGTATTTTAATCAGGTAACATAGGAAAAGATATTACTTCACTTGTGGAAAAATTTATTAAAGGAATTGAATTTGTAAGTGTAAAACACCCTGTTGAGTTGGACTTCCAATGGATTGAAATTCCTATTGGAGAGGTATGTAAAATTTAACTATAGTGAAGAAAAGATATTCTGTTGAAGCTGAAGAAATAACATGTAGAATTATATTAGAATAGTAGAATATATTTTTATTAAGTAAAATGGTTTTTTTGTAATTTTTAATTTATACCAACAATTCAATCAAAGTTAATTTATAATGAAAATTTGAAAAAAATATTAAAAAGTGGCAAATTTATAAAACAAAAATTAATGAAATTACTAAAAAAAAATTTAAATAAATTTAAATTTGATTCTCTTTGTGTAAAACATTATGCAACCCTTCACGAGTATTTGTGTCCAAAGATCAGTTTTCCCATGTATCAGTATTATTGACTATTCTCCATGCTCTGTGTGTAGATGTGCACTTTGGTGCTCGCTATCCCTTGCACCTCAGCACTTGGGTGGGGAGAGCCCCACACCCTCTAAAACTATATAACATTAAGTACTCCATGAATAGTCAAGTCAGCTACTCAAAGCTGACATAGTCACATAGTAAATTTTTAGTAATTCTAATTATAATTAAACTTTACCAAGAATATAAAAATATTATAAAATTATTAAATTAATTAATCATTAAATATTTTTGTATAATTTTAGTTAAACATGCCTATAGAACACTTGGAAGAAAATTTTAATTTTCTGTTAAATACTGTTTATGGATATAAGCCAGAAGGTGATACTCCTGGTAAGTATTAAGATAACAATTCTATTTTATGTTAACAGAGTATTGACATTTAGAAATATAAATCTGAAAAATTTTTCACACTTTATATCATTATATTTTAGAATATTGTTATGATTTAGTATTTCAATATTTATTTCTTCTTGTCATATTAAACAGAGTTATTGATATAATAGGTATGAATTGAACATATAAATGCATTTATTAGGGTGGCCTTTATTTTAGTTTTGGAAAGTTAAATGGAGTATGTTTCGAATCTGTCTCACTATGAAAATAAAAAATGCAATAAAAGTTTAAAAAGTAAAAAAAAAATAAATTTTCTTCAGCTTTCACAATATTCTTGATATAATACAAGAATAAAAAGCAAGAGTAAATTATTAGGACATTTATAAATTTTAAGCTTATAAAAAGTTCAATAAAAAAATTAACTTTCTTCTATTACCATTTTATCTTCTACAATACAATGTGTAATGCTAAACTTAAGTGATAGCAGAGGGAATTTTTAACAAATTTATGCTTAGGCAGGAAAAAGTCAAAATAAGTAAATAAATAAAAGATTACTTCTACTTTGTGATTTTGTTTCTGTGGTGTAAAAGGACAAATTATGAAAATTTCTATTTGTTTATAATGTTTTATAACAATGAATGGATTTTATAATGAATTATTTGATTAAAGGATGATTATAGTAGTAATTGTAACAGTAAATTTTATTATTATAATTAGTTATATTAATAAATTTGAAAGAACAGATATTTTTCAAAATTAATTTTTGACTTTGTATTTTGTATTTTTTGTATTTTGTATTTACTATATTGTTTTGAAATGAAAGTTTTATTAAGTAAAGTATCAAAGATATTATTACTTTTTAAAAATCTTATAAGATTCATATTTATATTTGAATATTTAAAATTTGAAAAATAATAAATATCTAGAGAAGTTATTAATAACAGAGAGAGAATTTATCTGTGATATTATGCTATAGTTTTTAATTTCTTTGTAAAATAAGTAATAAAATAAAAACATAAATACAACAGTAATATCTTTTGTTATTTTCAGGGCCTTTTATAACTCGAACTTTATTGTATTCAAGGCTATCTGGAGAAAAAATATCGGTTTCTCATTGGAAATATTTACCGAAACAAAATGAGGAGAATGAGGAAGATATTGAAATAGAAAAAGTTCAATAGTTTCTTTATTTGTAATAGCTTATATATAAAAAATTAAGTCATACAAAGGATAAATATTGTGAAAAATTATTTATTTATTATTTGGGAGAATACTGGGCAATATCTTAACATTTCACTGAATACATTGGTTCCCATCAATCATTATAATTAAAAAGTGAGGGTCTTAAACAATATTTCAGTCAGAGAGGCAATCTGGAACTACTGCTGTTATTGGTAATCCCAAATCCAGATTTAAAAAGGGAAGATTGATACAGGAAAGGTATCTGATTGTAAATACAAAGCCAAATTGAGGAACAGTAGTAACCCTACAAAAAGTGGTATTAATAATGCTGGAGAAGAAAAAAGAGATTTTTGAGAGAATACTGTACATACAAGCAGAGCTTTCATATACAATAAGACCCCGCTTAACACTGATTCGATATAGCGTGGTGTGCTCAAAGCCTAAAAAAGCTCAAAATTTACACTGATTTAGATTATTGATGCATTTTATTGATTCGTACATAATATGATTACCCACAAACACGAACTAATCAGAAAAAGGTGACAAAAAGGTGTACTTTCTTTAAATCTATGTTTGTTTGGTGCAATTTTGGAAAAAATATAACATCATGGATGCCATAGGCAATATCAGCTTCGCTTGACAAGAATTAACCGATAAATGCACGAACAAAGTGTGGAAGAAGTTATGGCTGAAGGTATCCAAGAATTCTCAATGAGAAGAGCCTATCACTATATCGTTGGGTTGATCAAACTCAACCTAATCGATACAGCAGGATTAGGAGATGTAGACGAGGATATTGAGGAGTTACTGCAGGTTTCTGGTGAGAGTCTTACCAATGATGACCTTCAAGAACTGGCAGAACAAGGAATCCATGTAGAACTGGAAAATGGTGATTCTGAAAACGAAGAACCCAAAAAATTTCTCTACAGATTTCCTTAGTAAAATAACCAAAATCTTTGATCAAATTGTAGCGAATGATCCAGATTTTGAAAGGAGTGCAAAAGCAAAACGAGACATTTTGGATGTGATCTTCTTCTACTGACATTTATTTGCTTAAGGAAAGAAAAAAAGCAACAAATGAAACTTCACAACTTTATTGCAAAAGAACAAGAATTTCAGGAAAGTCAGGATCTTTGTCACAAAAAATTAACTTTACATTTCTGTGTGCATATGTTTGTGTGTTATTAAACCTATATTATTATACAAATTAATATTAAAATCAGGACCATGCTGTGCTATGATGCAGAAAGGCAGCTGCAACAGGCGGCACCATAAGGGGTGGCATAAGTGGCATTTCGAAGACTTGCATCACACTGAGAAAATTACCGCATGGCCCGATAAAAATGACTTAAAATTAAAGTAAGATTTGTTTATTTTCAGTCGCGTGTTTCCTATCCGTATTTACTCTATGTTAAAATGACCTCATTTAATTAATGCTGTTTTGCTTAGCACTTTGTTGTCTAGGAACACATCCCCCGCATTAAGCAGGGTCTTACTGTACTTGCATTTTTATCTGTCAAATTTAATATTTTCACAGTTTTGACTTGTAGCATTTTTACTGATGAGTCAGTTTGTGACTCAATGAAATCTGACATTGCAACTATCATTATACCATGTTTTACCTACAAGAGTATGGAATCAAGAATGCAAATACAGTGGTACCTCAGGATACGAACGCCCCAGCATACAAAATTTTCAGGATACAACATGAAATTCGAACATATTTTTGCTCCACAATACGAACAAAAACTCACCATATGACGTTACATTAGTTCGCAGCGCCATTTTTTATTCACTTCTGTTCATCGGTCTCAGTCCGCGTGTTTGCTTCGTCGTGGAAGGATCTCACTCGATAAACGAAATCTTGAGGTATTATCAGAAAGTGACTGATTTTATAGAAAAGAAACACCCCGAAATCATTCACACTGGCCGTATTGCCGCTCGGAGTAATGACATTTGTCTAAGTCATTTTAGAAAAATTTTAAAAAGTAGGCAAAGCCAAACCTCTTTGGATAGATATTTTACCAAGCCACATCTATCCAGTGAAAGTGCTGGTGGAAGTGAAGGAAAGACGGCAAAAAAGCAGTAAATAAAAAATTAAAAATATATATATAAAACAGAAAAGTTAAAGAATTAGTGTTAAGTTATTTTTAAGTTATTGTTACATTATGTTATGTAAGTTAACTTTTAGTATCATTTCCCTTCTCCCTCTCCTCCAGCACTAGTTTACACCTCCACCGTCATCTATCCTCAAAGGTAAAATGCAAATAAAACTACATTTTTTAAAATCAATTATTATTCTATTATGATTATTTATACATTTACAAGTACAAAATGCATTTTTTCAGTGTTTTCCTTACTAAAGTTATTTTTTAATGTACTTCTTAGCTTTAAATTGAGTATGTTTTTCGTGTTGGAACGAATTATTTGGTTTTACAGGTAATCATATGGGGAAAAATGATTCACCTTACGACATTTTCACGATACGATCTCAGTTTTGGAACGGATTAATTTCGTATCCTGAGGTACCACTGTACTATGATGTAGTGATCAAAAATCTAAACAAAGTTGGGCTGCCCTCCATTCGGTAAAGGTTAAGATGAGTGCGATTTGAACATGTACAGGCTTACCAAATTGGCTTTGCATAGTTGTAATCTCATCAACAGATAATCAGGCCTAAAGGCCTGCTTATCTGTTGAGATTATGAGTTCTATCAAGACTGCAAAGTGGGCATATAGATGCCTACATATCTAAATTCTAGATGAAAAATGAGAAGATTGGCAGAACACACACTTTTCTTTAATGCTTTTCCAAAGAAAATGACTAAAATTGCAAAAACTAACACATAAATATAAGAAAATTACATCACACCACACAGGAAATATGTAATAATGAACACACAACTAATTACTGGTGTGAAGAAAACAATAAACGATCTCTGCAGGTCGAAAAATCCCCAGGAATATTTTGGGGGGTTGTCCGTCCTTCACCACGCGGCCCCATGGTGGATATGCTAAAAGTTAGGAAAAAGTTCATAGATTAAGAGATCTTTTCTAATACCCCGTTCGCACCGAGCACTTCGATCTAGATTGTGACCAAGGTCGGCGACTATGCCGTGGTGCGACCTCTCTTGACCGTTTCAATTTCGATCGACTCGAGAGTTCTTGAAACTAGATCCAGTAATAAGAGAGATCCCACGCACGCGAGAAAATACAAGATGGCTGCTGAACACGTGTTGGGCTATCAACAGAGAAGTAAAAACGACGACATCTGTCTATTATTAGATATATGGCAAGAGAAAGTATTTATTTCTAACAAAATCTTCCATTTTGTTTGTTGGTGTTCGTGACAAACCGCATAGTTATGTCAGTTTTATCATCGCGTGTAATAGCCGGGTTTTTCTCAAGCGGACTGCCTGTGCGAACAGCACGACGTTTGACTGGCGACAGTCATAATCCAGATTGTAGGTAAATCGAGATCGAAGTGAGTCATGGATTGTGTGCTACGTATAACACTGATTAATGTTTTTGAGATTCTCATCATCAAATCGTCTTTTAACCTTGAGTATCATTCCGAGGATCAAGAGTTACGGCAGTGACTACCCGTCAAGTAAAAAAGTCGCTGACTGACTATGTATAGAGCAGTGTTTTTCAACCTTCTCGAATACGCGACCCCTTTACAAGTTAAAAAATTCTGGCGACCCCCCTAGGGCCATATTAAAACTATATCAGTGATCTTAAAAACTATTTATTTAATTTTCTTTCTGTTGAGACAAATTATTGTTGATTAAAATGAAAATTTCGGAAGAATCGACAATAATTTAACACACACAAAGTATGAAACTTCCTTTAATTATAACATTAAGCACAGGGAACTGTTGACCTTATTTCGTTTTCTTTTTTCTTTTTTTTTAGGATTGAATTTTCAGCTTTTACTTTTCTACTTTTTATTTCCTTTCGCAAATCAGCTCAACACTTTTTCCGCTATCATTTTCTGGGGTGGGCCGTAATTCTCGCTGAAATTGTAGTTTTTTTAATGTAGTGTAGGACCTACAAACACTTGTCTTTTTCTTCTACCCGCGACCCCCCGTGTAAGGCTTTGCGACCCCCAGGGGGTCGCGACCCACAGATTGAAAAACACTGGTATAGAGGAATGAGAATTGCCGATTTTCTGGGTTCTCTTTCCGCTCCCCAAACGTCTAAAGTAATTCCGAATATCTCGTTCGAAAGATTGTTTTGTTAGGTAATAGCGAGGTTGAGGCCGAAATTTTAAACGTGTACATCGGACGTTCAGCGCCGCTTTCCTGTAAGCCTAGACGTTTGACAATGGTGTTTGGAATGTCGAGCATGATTCAACTGACTATCCAAACGCCATTGTCAAACTAATTTGCTTACAGGAAAGCGGCACTGAACGTCCGTTGTACACGTTTCCACGTTTAAAACTTCGGCCTCAACCTCGCTAATGTTAGATTCTATTAAGCGGTTGCCGAAATATAAGCAATTAAAAAGTGCAAAAATCGCCTAAAAAGCTTTTTTCCCCTTCATCCGACACTGCAGACGCTTGTAGAGAAAAAACTACTGAGTCTAGAAAGCTCAAATTTTAAACTTACTGTAGGTCTTTCTCGTTATTCGTGAGGTGCTAGGTCATGGGGGTTTCCGGTAACGCTATTTCAGTTTTATGGCTTAATTTAATGCTTATAAGGATGAAATTGCATCAAAATAAATGAATTTTATTCAAAATGTAATTCAGAGTAACAAATGCTTAAATTTATGCGAATTAAAATTTTTTATAACGATTTTTCTAAAAGGCGTGTTGAGAGCGTTATTTGTCGGCGCGTTGGTCAGCGACGTTCTGTCGCCGAGTGCCTACTGAATATGTCTTGATGTAATAATACAATTATTAAACAAAAAAACAATTGATATCCAAATTAAAGAGCTGATATGTAAAAAATAGCAACAAGTAAAAACTTACGACAATTTAGATGACAGTCAAAATTTTTCTTAAGACTTTTTTTTTGTAAACATAAGCTTTGGTCTTGTAAATGGTACCCACAAGATTTTTATCTGTAGAGGAGAGGGTGGTATTATGGAACCCCAATTACATTTTAGTGAATTGTAAACAAGGTATCATAAGTACACCCACATTTTTTGTGCGAAAAGTACTGGTAACTAGTAAACTAAATGTTCCTAATTGGATTTTTCGCTAGTGTAACTATAAGTATGGTTTTTGAAGGCTTTTGTACAAAAAGTCCGAAAGTAGGCTTAGAGAAAATCGGGTGGTAATATGGAACCTTACTGTATATTTTCAAAAAAATGCTTTAATGTAGCCAAAAACAAA